GGAGGCGATGTTTTCATCAGTAATCATCTGGGGAAACTAGTGAAAATGAACTAGTGAAAACAGAAGGAACTAAAAAACTGGTTTTCCGCTTAACTGGAGGATAAAAAGTAAATTCCATTTGGCTCTCTGCCATTTTGTTAGGATTTTTTTTATTAGTATGAATTTACGTACATTAGCAGGTTTTGTCTGTAACCTCTGGACTCTGTAGGTCAAAAGTGATGCACGTTTGAGAGAAGGAAGTAATGGAAAGGGAGATGATGTGTGAAAAAGCATGTGATCTGAACTCACATGATATGATAAAGAGATTCCATCTGAGCCTGCAAGACACCACAGTTTCCTTTATTGACTTTATTGAATATCCCTGTATCCGTACACTACAAAGTTTTTGCATCTCTGTGTATGGAGAGAAGCTGTTGAACAGATTAAGTGAAGAACTGCAGCAATATCTCTGCATGACTTGGTTTAAAAAGAGGTACAAAAATATGTACAGGGAGGAGGTAGGGCTTTGACCGGGTCTTGTCACACACTATTTTCACACCAGGGATGTGTATATGTGTTTGGGTGCACAAGTTTGTTTATGTTTATATATCTGTAAATTTGTATGTCTTTTGACGTGTTACAGTACTAGGGTTATTAAAGCAAATACATGTAACAAATTTCTGAAGTGATAGGGCATAAACAGGAAGAAAAAGTGTTGACTGTTAGTTACCAAATAGTGTAAGAGGTGGGATTATGTATATAGCTTATGCTTCTTCCTACTCTTTTTTTCAACATGTAAGTTAATTATGATTTTTATTATTGTTTTGTTTTCCTGTTGTTTTGATTTGTTTGTTCGTGTCTCTTTATTCTCGGTTGTTGTTCTTATACTATACACTTATACATGTTCAAAATAAAGATACAATACACAAATACACAGTTTTACACTGAGTTCACTTTTCTCCTTTGCCCACCAGAGGGCAGTGTAATATATTGGTTGGGCAGACAGGCTATGTGGTAAACGTGAGATAATGTGAGGTGTGTTAGTGTTATTTTTCATTGTAGTTGAAATAATAACATTTATTCATTTCAAAATACTCTATTTGAATTTAATCGCAGTAAAATTAAATGCAATTTTAATGAAATCGCAGAACCTGAGCTTAACCAAGTTTTAGCAAAGTAAATAATAGTTCAGATTTGTTCTTTGTTGCTTTTGTATCAAATCTATTAAATACATTTCTCGGTATTTTCCTTTATATAATGATTTTACAACTTCAGGCTACCAAACATCTCTAGATTCTTATATAAAACAGAGGCTTAAAACTTGACAAAGAAAGAGTGAACTGTTAGATATGATAGCCATGAAAAAGATAAAAACCAGGGAGTCTCAAGGCTGCACAACAGCAGGAATGATCTACACTGCTGAGAAGTATGTCCTTGTGTCATTGGCCTGCACTTGGTGTATGTGTTGCAAATCCAGCGTCTTCCCATCTTCCCCTGCAGGTTCAATCAATACATCTATTTTGGGAGTGGAAATGCGAGCCGCCAGAGAGAGTTCTGAACTCAGTTTAAGTGCTGTTGTTCTTGGGGCAGAAAAATTCCCCACTGTCTGCAAAACCAGGAGCCTAGGCTCATGTAAAATGTGGATTACCACACTTTTCAATGTAACAGTAAATCGTAAATGGTTTCTCCTGTCATGTTTGGGTTTTGTTTTGGGGTTTTTTGTTTGTTTTTTGTTTTTTGGGTCAGGTGGTTCAGGGGGCCTCACCACTGTACCCTCTGAGCCACAGAAGCAACAAAATCTGACATCACACAGACTTTGTACTGGGGTGCTGACAGGGTAGAGACCAGTTAGTGTACCATCTGACTGCATTTGTGTTGTCAGGGACACCTTTACTAGGCGATGTTTAAAGTTCAGGGCTTGTACAAAAACAGCTGGAGAAGTGACTGAATAGGCAAACCCACATGTTGGCCTGGGAAGGCCACACCCAATTAAAAAGTTAATAATCAAGATATAACACGTGGAATTTAATACGTTGATCGTTTAAATAATGCCACTGGGATTAGGGGTGTTTATTTCTCAAACGTCTGTGTAACTGTTTAGCCACTAGCCTCCTCCTCAGAAACTTACATACTCAAACCAGTCATGTGTGACAGGTATCTGACTTTGCACACACCCACAACCTCGTCTTGTTTTAAAACACGTTGTGAAGTTGGTCTGTATTTCCACTAAAAATCAAACCTTTCAAAAAAACATGTTCAAAACATTAAAATCAACCCGATTTTACACACACACACAACCCTTGGTTTCGAGTATTTTGTGCAGTTGAGTATAAAAGGCACTTAAAAAATGAGTTAATGCATATAAATGGGTAGATTAAATCCAGTTATTTTGTACACACTGAAGTGACTATCCTCATACTACTTTATTAGTATATTGTGGAGGTCAAATTTAGGTTCAGACTCCCAGTTTCTTATCAACACATTCCAGTAAGGTGATAGATATTCGTGCCTTTGTATGTGTTAATTGAGGGAATGAATCATGAGTTTGTGGCACTCACTGTATACCTATGCGGGAATTACAGTAAAACAAATTCAGTAATAATTCCTGTAAGTGTAAGACAAATAAGTACTGGAAAGTTGTGAGGACCAGTAAACAGCTAATGTCTGCTCTTGTTTTGTTTTTTTACCACAATTGATCATTTCCCTCCTATGGGAATTTTTTTAGCCCTTTTGCTGGAGAAGTTATGTAAGGCATTTCCTCCTTCATATTGTGTGTCAAATCAACCGTGAGACAGCCTGAGAACTGCTTATGTCACAGCATTTTAGCCTACTTTCCAACCTCCCTTATTTATTGGTGTAAATGCTCTCACAAAAAGGGACATTGTCCCCCAGGCCTGGATGCATGGACTGTCCCTGAGAAAGCAGTCTGAGTGTCTGGCCACTTAATCAGCAGATGCCGGTTACATCATTGCTCATCCACTGAGCAGCAAGTAAGAGCTGCCTTTGTTACCTTAGAAGCACTGTAATACTTACTGCGCATTTAGGAATATTGATCCAAGCTTTCCTTTCTTGATGCAGGGAAACAGTAGTAGGAATGCTGGCTGCTTTAGTTTAGGCTGTAGCTGCAGCTCGGAGTGATTTGCATGTAGCATGGGTCCAGCATCATATTTGCAACCACACCCCCTGACAGGAGTTATTTAATTGAAAGAGGTCTAGTTTCTGAAGACTAGAGTAATAAATGTTTGATAATAAGGATGCTGTGGGTTTTTTTTATGTGACTAACAAATATTTCACTGAAGATGTTTGAGGAGTGAAGGTTTCCTAAGCTTTAAGAATGCTGTAGAAAGTCCTAGATGGTGCTACGTCCTTCCTCTGGTTCAGTATTGAGAAATGAGCTGTGAGCGAGTCGCATTGCTAACTGGGCATCTCTCTTTCTCTTTGATTCTCTCGCACCGTGCACGCTCTGCCTCCCCCTTCCTGCTTTTGCACACCACACCCTTCCCTTGACTCTATTGATCTCATGTGTCGGCACACTGGGGAAGTTACCGGAGGGGGCGGGATCTCATTCTGGTTTCCATGTGTTCACAGTCACACTCAGCTAGTGTTATAAAAACTCTGGCCATCTGCACTCAATTCTGTGGACTTCACTGTTTCTATCACATTTCCAATCACATAAGGTGTTTGAGACCTGATAGCTAGTGTCATTTTCAGTGTAGTATATATTCAGAGGAAATTAATCATTAGAATTAAGGTCAAATGGATTTGAACATGAGGCACCTAAAGCCATTTTCTCCTCCCTTTTACTATTTTTCAGAAACGCTACGATACTTTATTAGTCTTAGAGTACCAGTCGAAAGTTTTAGATCCTATCCATCTTTTATATTCTCGTCAACCCAATAGCACAAATGGAACAGATTAGGGGAAGAATTAAGAGAACAATGGTATTTTAAATGGGTAGAATGGTTCCTTATTAGCGCTGGTGCTTGACAGCAAGATGTCTGTTGCTTCACACCTGCTGGTTTAACAGGTTCGACAGTTTTTTGTACCTCCAAAAATCTTTGCTTGCCACAATCACATCTACAATTACTGTCTGTAATTGTGATGTGAGCATGTCTTTCCTGCCCCTTGACTTGTGTTAGCTTGGATAGAGTCTAGCTGCTGTGACTCAATACAAATGAAGCAATGTGCAGAAACTTTAACTCTCCAATCCTGTACAAGTGCACACAAATGCGCTGCTTTGTTTTTCCATTCACTCGTCTGACCACTTGATCCCAAACCAGCTGGATGGGGTTTTACATATAGAGACTTCTGTGCTGATTCTTTTCTTAAAAAAGGCCTGTAGTATGAACCTATGACCAAGATGACGGTCTGTGTAAAGATAGTTTTAAAGTACTCAGCAAAAGTTGGACAGGTTAGGATTAACTGTGGAGACTGCACAAAGGCTCGATGTTCTCCTGTTTCTTAATCCCTGAAAGAAGTTTCTCTATTATGTCTCAATGACCATTCAGTTTTGGTTAAACCTTGGATGATGTACAGCTCACTCTATACAGATATGAGCATCTTTCAGAAATCTGTGTGTTTCCACACATAAGCATATGTGCTAACGCTCTTTAGGGTTATATGTTCACACAGTCTATATACATCTTCAGAACAGCATTGCTGCACACTTGCTGCACATGGGGTTTAAATTATTGCATAGCAAGTGAGGAAATACATGTGTGTCCGTGTGTGTGTGTGTGTGTGTGGCAGCTTTGCACTTCCTCTTTGAACAAAGGTGATTGTTTCTGGTGGTTGTTGTGCCTGTGTGTGAGAAAAAGGCTGCATTCCTGGTCAGGGGATCTGCCCTCAGGCATAGAAAGAGCTGCTATATGTGCTCTCACTCACAGATGAGCACTAATGCATGTAGTTTTTCAACCTCAGTGTGTGTGTGTGTGTGTGTTCATGTGCACTGCCCCCCATTGGGCGGGGCAGCAGCGCTCTTCCTTATTTGGGTAGTTGGTGCGGTGGGGGTCGGGGTCACATGGGTGGACAGCAGAATCCTAGCGATAGGAACAAAAACTCAGAAGCAAGACACAGCGTCCTGCCCATGAGGGTAAAGTACACCGGGGAAGTTGGTCTGAACAACAGAAAGCAAACAACGGAGAACAGTAGGAAGAAAGAGAAGAAGAGTGACAGTTGCTGGACAGAGAAAGGAAAAGATTCAGCAGAACAGAGGGGGCGGAGGAGGGCTGCGGGAGATAAGAGTGTGACAAACAGGAGACACTGAGAGGAAGCACAGGGTATAAAAATGCCCACCAACTTCACCGTGGTGCCGGTGAAGGACGGCACCAGAAAGGCAGAAGAGGGGAACGACCAAAATGATGTGCTGAAAGAGGAGGAGGAGGAGGACGTCGCCACAGGTGAGATCACGTTTTATTTCTCTGTGCCAGGTGGGCAACTGGTGCAAATGAGATCAAATTTACGAGCGAGGCTCAGGCGTCGGAATACATCTTTATCCTTCTGTCGAGACGGTACAGAGGAAGCAGCTCTGGAAAATTCCAGACTTTGTTTACAGTGTCCAGTGGAAGCTGATAATTTTGCTTTATTGCAAGGTTTTTTTTCTGAAAACCTGTTTACAGCTGTGTGTGGGCAGATAATGTGAAGGGATGATTGGGTTTGGGCAAAGGCTTGCTTGTAGCTGTGTGAGATGCCAACTTGCCTCACACGATACTGCCACTCATGGGAGTTTGACATGAATGTGGTTTTTCCTTCTGTCAAAGTCCCTCCTTTTTTCTTTGTTTTTTCATTTTGTTTCACTCCTCAGCTGATGGCTTTTAAGCAGAAGCCCTAAACACAATGAGTTAAATGTTCTTTGATTTAGTTTAACTTTAATTTTTCTGCGTTATGCCATGTAATCCTAGTGTTGGTAACAAATGCAGGGATAGCAGAGCTTCAGTGACTTCAGCATCTGCTGACTTCTCTGTTGGTTACCATTGATGTGCAAACTCCTGCATGAGTCATGACTGAAGACCTCACAGTGAACTCCTTGGTGTTAGAAACAACAGGATAAAAGAACTTTTACACAATGTCCTGACGCCCAGGCATGACACACATTTCCTTGTGGGGCCTGCAGGACCAAGACAGAATAGTCATGAACTTAAATAACACTTTATAATAAATATTTAGTGAAAGCCAACAAATATGTGCCATTTACAGTTGCACATAAACAAAACAGGAACATACTGTAATATTATAGATCTGGTGTCAGAACAACACAACCTGCCTGTGTGTAACACCTCAGAACAATATGTAGAGGTCATGAAGTGCATATTTAACAAACTCCTCTCTGACACTCCATGGTTTTGTTTTTGGGAGTTTTTTTTTTTCCAGGCTCTCATTGCCAGTTAAGTTGTTGCTTTTACAGCGCTTCACATGGTGCTGAGCAAATCTGTTCCCGGTGTTTAATTTCTGTTGTGGAGCTACAATTACGGCTGCATGCCGGGTGAGATTTTACAGACTGTGGGAGAGAGAATGGTGTTTCATTGTGATGCTTATACAGGCTCTTGTATCACTTTAGTTTCTCCTGTGCTGGTCTATGTGTATGCAGATCAGCTGTTACTGACAATGGCTGCAGAGTGACAGAGTCGCTCGGTGAGCAGGGCATAGCATGTCAGAGAGATCTCACGCTTGATCTAAAACCACAAAATTATAACTTGACTCGTGGAAGCATCGAGGCCACGCATGTTCCTTTGTTTGCATTGTTTTGAAGTCCAGCCTGCTCAAAGCCACAGGTCCTTTTAAAATAGGCTGAATCATTGCATGAGTCGAACTGTAGACACATTCTTAGCTGTGAGATTTGTTGAGAACATGATGGTGACGGTATGGTTAAATAACAGCAGCAGGCTCCAGACTTTAAAAGCGAGACATATTGGGGGTGTTTCCTTTCCGTGATTTGTTAGGGATGGGTCTCAATAGTGTAGCTCATGTCAGCTCATAAACATATAGTGTGTAAGGAGGACAGAGTGAAATAGCAGTCACTGTTATTGATTATGTTGCTGGCCCGCTTTCCGTTGACTTAGTCAGGGGAGATGAGACCCCACCCCCATGCTGCAATGTCCTGGGCTCAAGTTTTTCTCATTCACTCTGAATTCTCTCTTTGTTCTACTCTCCCTCTCTGTTTCTTGATGTTCGAATCTCCTGTTCCCTCCTGGAATTAAAGCTTTACTCATAAACAAGGTGTGCTTCTTATACACGCACTGGGCACTGAAAACATAAAGGAAATATGTGTCAAAAATGTGTCAAGAGTGAAATGGAAACGTTTCATTCCTCCCAGGTAAAGCTAACTAGTGTAGCCAAAGTGAACCAGCTCAGCCCCTTAGGCCTTAGTAAGGTGGTACATCCTTTCCATCTTGTATTTGCAATTAAGCTTTCCTTAGACGACACAAGATTTATTTATTTTTAAAATCGCTTTAGTAGGTCTGGTGTTGATGTGGAGTAAAACTGTCTTGTTGTCTTTTTTTTCCAGAACAATGTTATTTAAAAAAAGTAATGACACGACTTGACGTAGCTGTACTACAATAATATTCTGACCTATTCCGTATTAACCGAGTCTCTCATGTGCTTCCACGTGTTGAAGCACAATTGTTATAAGGGCAATTGAGTCTTGCCCTTATAACATTCTTCCGTTCATTTAATTGTTTTTGCGCAGGAGATGTCAGCATGTGTGATTGGGTTTAACTAAAGTCTGTGTTTGGCCCAAGCACCAACCCCTGGACCTGAATAATGAAGCCACTGTGGAGGTGCCAAAAAGTGCATTCACCCTTGTGGCCAGTTAGCCTCCCCAGATTCCCGTATTAAAATGTCTGTGGGGGAAAGTTTGCCCCTCGACAACAGCTGTATGGGGGGTGAACTTTTTTTGTAAGTTGTGCTTTTGGATACAGGTAATGATTAAAGTTGAGGGCTTGGCTGCTTCAGCTCCAGAATCAAACCATGAAATTCTCCTTGCTGCTGCCCTCTCACGAGAGTATGATAAACCTGAAGTCCATCAGATAAACCTAAGGTCTGTTTGAAGACGATTTTTCGCAAAAATGTAGCATGTTCGGTGTGTATATACAAGTTAAATGACTGAATTTTCCAATTGTTTTTTGTTTGGTGTGTAAATACCTTTACAGGGAGTGCAGAATTATTAGGCAAGTTGTATTTTTGAGGAATAATTTTATTATTGAACAACAACCATGTTCTCAATGAACCCAAAAAACTCATTAATATCAAAGCTGAATGTTTTTGGAAGTAGTTTTTAGTTTGTTTTTAGTTTTAGCTATTTTAGGGGGATATCTGTGTGTGCAGGTGACTATTACTGTGCATAATTATTAGGCAACTTAACAAAAGACAAATATATACCCATTTCAATTATTTATTTTTACCAGTGAAACCAATATAACATCTCCACATTCACAAATATACATTTCTGACATTCAAAAACAAAACAAAAACAAATCAGCGACCAATATAGCCACCTTTCTTTGCAAGGACACTCAAAAGCCTGCCATCCATGGATTCTGTCAGTGTTTTGATCTGTTCACCATCAACATTGCGTGCAGCAGCAACCACAGCCTCCCAGACACTGTTCAGAGAGGTGTACTGTTTTCCCTCCTTGTAAATCTCACATTTGATGATGGACCACAGGTTCTCAATGGGGTCCAGATCAGGTGAACAAGGTGGCCATGTCATTAGTTTTTCTTCTTTTATACCCTTTCTTGCCAGCCACGCTGTGGAGTACTTGGACGCGTGTGATGGAGCATTGTCCTGCATGAAAATCATGTTTTTCTTGAAGGATGCAGACTTCTTCCTGTACCACTGCTTGAAGAAGGTGTCTTCCAGAAACTGGCAGTAGGACTGGGAGTTGAGCTTGACTCCATCCTCAACCTGAAAAGGCCCCACAAGCTCATCTTTGATGATACCAGCCCAAACCAGTACTCCACCTCCACCTTGCTGGCGTCTGAGTCGGACTGGAGCTCTCTGCCCTTTACCAATCCAGCCATGGGCCCATCCATCTGGCCCATCAAGACTCACTCTCATTTCATCAGTCCATAAAACCTTAGAAAAACCAGTCTTGAGATATTTCTTGGCCCAGTCTTGACGTTTCAGCTTGTGTGTCTTGTTCAGTGGTGGTCGTCTTTCAGCCTTTCTTACCTTGGCCATGTCTCTGAGTATTGCACACCTTGTGCTTTTGGGCACTCCAGTGATGGTGCAGCTCTGAAATATGGCCAAACTGGTGGCAAGTGGCATCTTGGCAGCTGCACGCTTGACTTTTCTCAGTTCATGGGCAGTTATTTTGCGCCTTGGTTTTTCCACACGCTTCTTGCGACCCTGTTGACTATTTTGAATGAAACGCTTGATTGTTCGATGATCACGCTTCAGAAGCTTTGCAATTTTGAGACTGCTGCATCCCTCTGCAAGATATCTCACTATTTTTGAATTTTCTGAGCCTGTCAAGTCCTTCTTTTGACCCATTTTGCCAAAGGAAAGGACGTTGCCTAATAATTATGCACACCTGATATAGGGTGTTGATGTCATTAGACCACACCCCTTCTCATTACAGAGATGCACATCACCTAATATGCTTAATTGGTAGTAGGCTTTCGAGCCTATACAGCTTGGAGTAAGACAACATGCATGAAGAGGATGATGTGGACAAAATACTCATTTGCCTAATAATTCTGCACTCCCTGTATTCAGATCGCAGACTCCAAAAATAATTGGTGATGTGATTGTGGCTATATACTGAGTCCTGTAGCCAGTTTGTCATAGTTTTCGAAAACATCTGTCTTACTGTAGACTTTATTTTTCAGTGACGATATTTTTTTTAAATTAAAATGTCATCTGGAACAAGCAAATTAGGTAGATTTTAGGATCTGTTATGAGCTTCAGGTTACCTTGTATCATGCTGAAAAGGTCTTAACTTAGATGAATAAATCACAGGTACATGTATGTAACTTTCCCTGCTGAACAGGTTATACAGTATTGAACAGAACACAGCGTTCCAGAAGGGAATGAGCTCAGGCTCTGTGGGAGTGGGTGGAGTGGGACTCTGAGTGAGCGTATGTAGTCAAGTATTCTGTGGGAGTTGAGCGGTGTGGCTTTGTAGTGAAATGCAAACCTCAGTTTTCGTTATGCTAAGTTGGGTTATCAGATTTGGGACAAAGCCCCACCTTGTAATTAAGTAACAGGGTGGATGTGGGATGTAGCTCATGGCTCCAGTAGTAATAGTAGTAGAAGTGCAAGTGGTGGGTGTTTGGACCCAGTCTTAAATCACTTGCTTTCAAAGCTGCTATGGTAAAATCCAGCCTTACTTCTGTTTTGTTCAAGCTAAACAGGTGATTATACCAAATGCCTGGGGTTACTGCCTCTGTCCGTTGGT